CTTAAGGGAGCTGGAGAGAGTTATGGCGGCATTCCTGTGGGGTACGTCAGAGTTTGGCCTGAGGTTTCACTGGATGAAATAGGCGGACCTGTGTAGGCCATATAGCGAGGGAGGGTTGGGACTTCGGCGGCTAACGGAGATTTATCAGGCATTCTCCATGAAGCTGTGGTGGAACTTCAGACAGGGGCGCTCTCTGTGAGCCTCCTTCCTGGTGACCAAATATTGTAGAGGTCGACACCCTTGCTTGGCGGAGAAGAGGGCAGGGAGTTCATACACTTGGAGTCGGATGCGTATGGTCCAGGGCTTAGTAGAGGACAATATTGGCTGGATTGTTCGGTCAGGAAGAATGGATTTTTGGCATGATAACTGGGTAGGATCCGGCCCTCTGTGTCACCGAGTGGAGGTCTTCCAGAACCAGCAAGTGGTGGATTTTGTTAGTGGAGGGGAATGGAATGCTCGGTTGTTTGCACAAGTGCTACAACCGGAGTTGGTCCGGCTGGTGATGGCAATCCCTCCCCCATCACTTCATGGAGAGGATAGAATGGTGTGGATGTTGACCCCTTCTGGGAAGTTCACGGTCGCCTCAGCTCTGTCGCTCGTGCGGCCCCATTTTAATGGGTCCTCTGTTGCCGCTCACATTTAGCACAGATTCCTGCCAATAACGGTCTCCTTTTTCATGTTGCGCTTACTCTCAGATAGACTACCCCTTCTTGAGCAGTTACGCCGCTTTGGAGTCCAGGGTCCTTCCCGATGCTGCTGTTGCATCAACCTCGAGGAGGAACTTTTGAATCATGTGTTTTGCACAGGGAAAGTTGCCCGTCAAGTATGGAAGGCGTTTGAGGTTCATGATGGGATGTCATCTCGTATCGGCTCGGTTCGACATATGGTAATCGTGTGGTGGATACGCCCTGCTCAAAATCGGTATTTGGCATTTGTCTACCGCCTCCTGCCTTCTCTTATTTGCTGGGAACTGTGGAGGGTAAGGACTCAGGCGTTAATGCACGGCGGGAGGTCAAAAGGGGGAGAGGTAGTGGCCAGGACCTTGTCTAGGGTCAGGGATCTGCTACATTTACAATTTCCTCCACTAACATGGGCCTATGGCACATGGGGGAGTTTGCATGCGGACTTGGAAGTGAGGCCTAAGCGGGTGCCCATTCGGCCTGTAAAGTGGCTGGCTCCGCCAGTAGGTTACAAACTCAACACCGATGGGTGTTCACTTGGCAACTCAGGGATGAGTGGTGGGGGAGGGTTGTTGCGTGACTGCCAGGGGGGATTTCTCTTTGGGTTCTCTTGCTTCTTTGGTGTCACCACTAGTCTGCAGGCTGAGCTTCGATCCTTGCTTTATGGGGTAAAATAGTGTGTAGCGCGGGGCTACAAGGAGTTGCATTTGGAGGTGGATTCTCAGGTTCTGGTTCGGATTCTGTCAGGGGACCTCGCTTGCCCTTGGCGTTTGCAGGTGGAGTTGGATGATCTGTTGCGGTTTCAGGGAATGTTTCGGTCCATAACGCACTACTTTCGCGAGGCAAATAATCCTTCGGATCGGCTAGCCAAGATGGGGGCGACCTAGGGTCGGGACGTCTTGTTTGAGTCCTTGCAAACCTCCCGCCTCTGGCGCGGGGAGACATTCGCATGGATAGGTTAGGCTTTCCAAGTTTTCGGAGACAGATCTTTTAGTTCGTTCTTTCTGATGTAATCGCTTCGGGAATGATTCAATAAAAAGAAAGTAATTAAATTTAAAAAAAAATCAATTTTCATTCAAAATAAAGCTCAAATAATACAATTAACTAGTGACTTATACATCAAAATGTACTACAAATTACACCCTATCATTTGCCACATTGCTAAAGTCACTTGCATCTTTCTATATTTTTGGATTCCCCTATGACTCCAATCCGACTCTGACTCGTATTTGTAAGTCCCAAAGACAACCAAGAGGGGGGTGAATTGGGTTATTTAAAATCTTAATCAGATTTAGGCAATTTTTGCTAAATTAAAATTTCCTTCTTTTCTAGTAATGATCAACCAAGTGGATTAGAAGACAAGAGCAATATTGATCAGAAACACAAGTATAAACAAGCAATGAGAATTTTATTAAACAGAAAAGTAAATTGGGGAATCAAACCAAGTGTCTACCAAGCTATCCTCAAACATGAAGACCACACACTAGCAAGAGCAACTTCTCTTTGATGGAAGACGATCAACTAGATGTACAATGGAGGGAGCACTTCCTCCTTGCCCTAAGCCTCACTTAGTCAAGCTAAGAAGTTTTACAATCACTCAGAAAACCCTCAACAAAGCTACACTAAAGATCCTTTCAATCACAAAAGAAATGCTCACCAGAAATTCACACCACTTTAAAACAAATCTAGCTTTGGAGACTATTTTCTAGCTAAAATATCTCTTGAGATCTTGTAAACAAAGTGTGCAAAAGTCCTCCCTTCGTTCAGAACAGTTTGTTTTTAAAGGGGAACAGAAATGAGCTTCATTAAAGCTTCCAACGGATAGAAGGCAGATGAAGGGTCAGCTAGCCGTTGGGGCTTTCGGACGTCCGACGATCAAATCATCGTCCGAACCAATCGTCCGAAAATAGCCAAGTTGAAGTTCGGACGTCCGATGAGATTTTTGTCGTCCGACAGCACAGCGTCCGATCGTAGGCCGAGAGCTAGCAAGTTATCTTGGAATTTTTCGGACGTCCGATCTGGTTGATATGCGTCCGAGGTGTGCGTCCGATCCTTCCGGACATCCGACAGTTTCCTTTCGGCCGTCCGACCTGATTGTCCTGTTTTTGCTTCTCATTTTGGTTGTCTTGCATTTCATGACATATTTGAACCTGATTCTTGGATAGACAGAAACACTTGTATTTGAAGGAGGTTAGATAAACATTTCAAAGTACCAAGAATGACCAACTAGACATACTTAAAAGACAGTATCTTTGATCGGAACAAAACAATGACTAAATTCATTTATATTATTTCAATCTTGTTTGCCACATCCAAAGCATCGTAGACTGGAGTCAATCAAACATATGCTTTCCTTGTTCCATCAGGCCTGATCAATCTTGGTCAGTATAAACGAACTTTTGTGATCATCAAAACCAAGAATAACAGTATTCCTTTGTATAATCAAGAAAAATCAGAAAAGATAACACAATTAAAGGATTCTAAAATTGACTCTCATCATCGTCTTCTTCGATGTTTTGGTTCCTTGATTTCATGTTGTTCATTTCTCTCTACCTAATGGGTAAATTTCGTATATTTTTCGTTGTAGGTTCTTTTGATGTAACTAATTATTAGAAATATCTAAATAACATAATTTGTCTTTTCCAATTCCATAAACTAGTAGAAGGAGAAAAACCTCTATTTCTGATCTCCAATATTATGAAAACTAGGTTTAAAACTTGTGCAAATTTAGGGCTTCGATGACTGTTGTAATTGTGTCCAAGCTTTGCAGGGAAGATGGATTTTGTATTGAATCACAATTGCAATTCATGATTTAAAACACTGACCAAACTAATTATTTTTAATTGGAGTTCGAAGAATTGTTAGTTTTATTTTGAGCATGGACTACAGCTTCCTTTTGTTGGAATTTTGGAGTCTTTTTACAGAGAACAATTTGAGCTGAATTTCAGTAAATCTGTAACTTTTATGGCAGTGTAACTTTTTAGTATGACTTTTTTTCAGTAGTTCATGGATGAATATATTTGATTTGAGGATATTTTGTAATACCGCAACTACAGTGTGAATTGCAGCTCTGTTGCAATGTACCTAATGGTTGCAACCTGCTTATATTACCTATGTATATTCATGAAATTTGCTATAATCAGGTAGGTTTTGGTCCACTAGACTTTTCAACACAACTTCGCAATATAAATGTACTGGGGAGAAAAATCCAATAGCACTCACGACTTAATATATAAGTTAGGAATCCAATTTTAGTTCAATATATTAAATTATTAGGTCTCAAATCCTTACCTATATATCATATACTCCTTTTTTCTCTCTCGAATTAACTATAATACGTGACACAATTCCTACCCATGAACCTAAAAATTTCTCCTTTTAGGAGTAGTCGCTCACAATGAATCATAGTTGGTAATCTCCTCCCCAAACCCACTTTACTACCTCAAAGTCATCTCTCTTCACTAACTCATCAACCTATTATTCTTGAACACTCTTACCAAGATTTTACCAATGCTGGTTCCTTAGTCTGACACTAATTAGACGCCTATTAAACCCTGGGCACCTTGGTTTAACACAAACCAAACTATTTGACACTTTGGTCCATAGTTTACTGGTCAAACTTCGAGAAGAACTTCGAGAAGAAATCAGTTGTTAGTGAGAAGCCAATGGTTATAACTAGAAACTCTCATATCACTTATTAGGGAGAAAAATTCAAAAGAAAAAAAACCCATTAAATAAACCCAATATAAAAATTAGTAACCTAACTTTGACCCAAAAATTTAAAGTAATAGGTCCCCTTACCTATAAATTAAGTCTGTTTTTTTCGGTCCCATCCAATGTGAGATACAATTCCTATTATGAACCTAACAATGATATAACCAATTTCATACGAAGAGTGATTAACAGAGCAACAATCATTATGTGACTGAAGTATGCATTTATAAGACATGAAAGTGGTTTAATTCCTTATCTTCTTACATTTTCTACACTTCTTATATCTAATTAAACCAACAAACGTTAACATTTTTATAGATATTAACACTTGATAATACAAGAGCTAATTACCCAAAAGACATTTTCTACACTTCTTATATCTAATTAAACACATTGATAAAACCTGTGCCCCTAGCTTGTCGGGAAAATTTTTTGGTAAATTGAGCTACAAGTCATTAAACAATAAGCAATGAAAATTCAATTTCCTTCTCTGTTTTTCTTTTGGGTATTCATAAAAAAAAAAAACTTAATATGCATTTTTTTTTTTTTTTTACAAACGATAACTTCATATATATATATATCTATCACCCCTTGAAAATTCAAGAGTTAATTACAAAAAGGGGTAACTACCCCCATATCTTTCCTAACTAGACTTGAAAGCCAAGCTGGGAAAGAACCTTCCCATTCAAAGTCTCTAGTTGCCTTAGCTGCAAATTGTGCTAATTCATGGCTACATTGATTCACCGTTCTAGGTACAAAAGTGAACGTGCAGCTTTCAAAATTTCCTTTCTGAACGTCAATGTCATCCAGGATTGTTTGGAGACTACAATCCTGTCCATTATCCATGTTAATGAGGCTCACTACATGCTTGCAGTCAGATTGGACTTCTATAGTTGTCCATCCTGCAATCTGAGCCATTTCAAGCGCCCCCCTGATTGCTAGAGCTTCTTCAGTGGCTGCAATTCCTTTCCTCCTCGCAGTAATTCCTTTTGCTCTCACTACTTCTCCGCGCCAGTTCCTTGCAATGATTCCAAGACCTGATCTGACCATTTTAGCCGAGATGGCAGCGTCCGTATTGATCCTTATTGTTCCTTCCTTTGGAGGTTCCCAACGCTGCTGGATTGGTGTTGCCTTTTCTGATTCAGAATTTGGACCCGTGTCTGACTCCATTGCTGCCTCATACTCGATCCATTCCTGTTGTGCCTTGTCAACAATATTCTTTGCATCAGTTATCTCCTGCTGGAAAGTAACCTTGTTTCTTGCTTTCCAGATTTGCCATAATATGTTTGCTGTAAGTTGGATTCTGCCCACACCTTCAGACTTTTTTGCTGCTTGCAACACCGCCTCCCACCATCTCCACAGGTTGCCTTGAAGTTTAGCTAGCCCTTCCCACCGAACAGGTGCAATCTTCCATATTACTTTCGCTGTTGGGCAGGTAAAGAAGATATGCTCGATAGTTTCCATGTCCTCCCCACAACAGTGACAAAACTTGTTCCCTATGCCAAACCTTTTATAGAGAGCATCCTTAGTGGCCAAACCATTTTGTAGACATCTCCATAGGAAATGTTTCAATTTCAGCTTAATGTTTAGGCTCCACAAGGTTTTCCAAACTGTATGCTTTCTTATTTCCCAACTGGTTTCCGGATCAGGTGCTGGCCTTTGATTTGTTACCTCCTTTTCCTCCTTGGCAATCACATATCCGGTCTTCACCGTGTAGATTCCAGACTTGCTGTGTTTCCAGAATAATCTATCCTTTCTGTTATACAAGCTAAGAGGAATATTAGAAATCTGGTTTACTATATCTTCATTAAACCAAAGCTGCAGAAGACCAATGTTCCACTTCCCTCCCTCTATAAGCTCATTAACAAACTCTAGATGACAACCTACTGGTCTAGCCGTGGGAACTCTTCCATCCACCAACCCAGGTATCCACTTATCCTGCCAAATCCTCACTGACCTCCCATCCCCCACCCTTTTCCATAACCCCTTTTGAAGCAATTCCCCCCCCCCTTATGCATACTTTTCCAGCACCATGAAGCATTATTAGGGGGTTGCTGTCCTAACCAATCCTCCTCCTTCATGTACCTGGCCTTCAAGACTTTGCTTACTAACAAATTTGGATTAATCACAATTCTCCAAATTTGTTTTGCAAGCATAGCCAAATTAGAAGCTTCCAGGTCTCTAAAACCCATACCCCCTTTTCCTTTCACCTCAGACAGCTTACTCCATCTAACCCAATGCACCTTATTTTCCTGTTCCCCACCACCCCACCAGAACCTCGCAATCTTAGCACTAACAGCCTTACACAGACCCTTGGGTAATTTAAAGCAGGACATAATGTACGTTGGCATAGCCATGATAACTGCTTTAATCAAAACTTCCTTACCCCCTTGACTGAGCAATTTTTGTTTCCAACTCTGGAGCTTACTGATAATGTTGTTCATCAGGAAGCCAAAAACCTGGTTTTTATCTCTCCCAATTGTCATCGGAAGGCCTAGATATTTACCACTATTCGCCTCCTTCATATTATCCAGCACTTTACTGACTTCCCCTCTAATCCTCTTGGGAGAATTTCTACTGAGAAACATAGCAGATTTATCAAAATTAACAACCTGCCCGGATGCTTGTCCATATATCCTGAGAACCTCCTTAAGCTTTTGGGCTTCTTTTTTACTTGCTTTGCAGCACAATAGGGAGTCATCTGCAAAAAATAAATGAGAAACCATAGGACTATCCCTGCAAATTTTGATTCCAGTTAGATGCTTGTTATCCACAGCTTTCTTGATCAGGTTTGAAAGCCCTTCCGTACAGATGATAAATAAGTAAGGAGATAAGGGATCTCCTTGTCTAATCCCTCTAGAAGGTTTCACTCTACCCACTTTCTGGCCATTTAAATTAAAAGAGTAAGCGACCGTGGAAACGCAGGTCATGATCCAACGAACAAAAGTGGGACAGAAACCCATTTGCATCATGATTCTACCAAGAAACTTCCACTCCACTCTATCATAGGCTTTAGACATATCAAGTTTAAGGGTCATGAAACCTACCTTACCAGCTCTCTTACTTTTAAGGAAATGCAAAAGTTCATGCGCAATAATAACATTGTCTAAGATTTGCCGGCCAGGAATGAAAGCAGACTGTGAGGGACTGATACAATGCTTAAGGACCCTTTTCAGTCTATTGGCCAAAATCTTGGAAATGATTTTATACAAGACATTACAAAGACTAATAGGCCTGAAGTTAGCAAGCATCACAGGATTATCCACCTTTGGAATTAAGGAAATGATGGTCTCATTAAAGGCCTTAAGCAGATTACCCGTATGAAAGAAAGAAGAAATGGCATGAACAATGTCAGCATTTATAATGTTCCAGTAAGATTGAAAAAAACACGGGGACATACCATCAACACCTGGAGCTTTGTTGGGGAACATAGAGAAAATGGCCTTTTTAATCTCCCCCTCGTCCACAGGTTTGATCAACTGAGCATTCATGAGATTGGAAATAGTGCACGGTATGCCTTGTAAAACCTCCTCAAATTCTGTGGGATTGGTGGACATGAAAAGTTCATTGTAGTGGTTACACATTTCCTCCTCAATTTCCTTGTCGCTCCAACACCAATTCCCATCAGACTTTTGGAGCACACTGATTCTGTTACGTTTCCTTTTAGCTAAAACACTTTGATGGAAAAAAGCCGTATTTTTGTCTCCCTCCTTGAGCCATCTGTTTCTGGACTTCTGACTCCAATATAGCTCCTCTTCCTTGTAAGCTTTACTTAGCTGAAATTTTAAAGTTGCAATGACTCCTTTGTTACACAGCTCACCCGCTTCTCTTGCAACCTTCAATTGCTCCTTAATTTCCTGGATTTTCAGCTTTGCATTACCTTTTGTTGATCTGTTCCACTCGATCAAAGCTACTCTACACTCCCTAATTTTTCTTGTAACTTTATACATCCTGGATCCATCTTGTACTTTTCCCCACGCTGTGCGAATCACAGGCACAGTTGCTTTGTCCTTTGCCCACCTTTGGTCGAAAAAGAAACGTCTCCTCCCATTCCTTTGTTGCGGTTTTGTGTCCACCATTAGTAGGCAGTGATCTGAAGCCTCCATTCCAATATGCTCACATGTTACCTTTTCATAGACTTGCACCCAACCCACACTCCCTAAACATCTATCCAACCTCTCCTTAACCTCCCCTTCCCCTTCCCATGTATTGCACCAAGTCCATGGAACCCCCACAAAACCAATATCTACTAGCTCGTTCTCAGAGATGAAACCTTTAAAGTCCCTAAAACTTCCCTCAGATCTTTCATTTCCACCCCATTTCTCTCCATTCGAACAAATGTCATTGAAATCTCCCATCACAGCCCATTTCTCACCCCATTCTCATTTTTTCTCCTCAATGAATTCCCACTGATGTTTCCTAAGTCTACCTTCCGTACTAGCATACACCCCTACAAACCACCAGCTGTCATTTGTTTCATTATCCACTACTTTCGCAGCAATATACCAATCCGAACCCTGCACATCCAGTAACACCACTCCCTCCTTCCAGAAAAGAGCTAATCCCCCAGCTCTGCCCTTAGGATTCACTATAAAGCTATGTTCAAAATTTACTTTTTTTTGCACTTGTTTCATAAAAACCTCCTGGTTTTTTGTTTCACACAGGAATAAAATACTAGGAGAGTGGAGGTGAATTACCTCCTTCAGTTGGGGAATTGTCAAGGGGCCTCCTGCACCTCGACAATTCCACACCGCCATCTTCATTGCACTGGTGGAGGCATTGCGGGGCTAGCCTCCATTTCCCCTCCCTGTTGACCAGTGCTATCATCCCTTTTTGCCAGCTTCAAACTCGAGCCTTCTTCCATATCTTCCTCCATGATATCCAGACCTTGATTATCCAGCATCCCTTTCCTTTTCTCTCCAGACGAGCGAATTTGCTCTCTGCCAGTGATGTCCCGTAATGGAGCTCTTTTATTCCGTGAGCTTCTTCGCCATTTACCCTTCTTTTGAATGCTCTAGTTGACTGGTGGTCTGCTACCTTTGCTTCCACTCTCATTTGTTCGACAATTTATGCCCCCATTTTCCACGCTGTCCAAAACCTCCTGCCCTGGCACCAACTCCATCATCATTTCCACTGGAGCAAGACCAGGCGTACTACACTTCCTACTCCCCAAATCCACAACCACCTTACTGATTTCTATCTTTTCCTTCTCCACCAGCTCTGTTTTTTTTTCCTGATTTTCCCCTTTCCCCTCTTCTTGCTCCACACTCTTGTCCAACTCCTTGTTATCACTCAAAAAATCCTTCGACTTCTTCTCCATAGCTTCCTTTTTCTGTTCTCTAATATTACTCTCCTTCTCAAACTTGTTACTACTCGTCCCAGTTATACCCCTAACCCCCATCTCCCTCAAAGAATCTACATGGATCCCTGGGTCTTTGTTACTCGTAGCTACTACCATGCCTCTTTGTTTCACCTCAGTCTCGACCCCTCTGAACGCTCTCAAAGGGGAGGTCATGATATTCCCTGCCCTCATCCACGCTCCATATTGACTTTCCCTACCTGACTGTCCTTCCTTCCCTCCTTCAGTGCAAGATTTGTCACCGTGACCAACTATCCCACAGTTATAACAGAAATCCGGACATCGCTCGTATTTAAATTCCACCCATGTATTCACTCCCTCAAGCTTCACCAAGGTGCCTCTGAGAAGGGGTTGTTGCACATCCACCTCTACCAGAATCTTCATATGTCTACCCTCTTTTCCTCCCCCTGGCGGAACTATAACCTCCCTCACTGAATTGAAAAGTTTTCCCACCTTTATCCCCACTGTCCTACACAGCCAGTGGACAGGAAGATTCCATACCTGTACCCATAAGTATGTATATCTAAAGAACTGGGGCTTTCTTTCACAACCCATTTCCCAATTTTTAATCACCAAGACCTGATTATCCAAAACCCACGGGCCTCCCATCAAAACTTTTTCCCGTTCCTCATCAACATCAAACTGGAATTGAAAAATGTTAGGGCCAAGTTCAGTTACCACCAAATTTCTGGGATAACCCCACGCATGATTGGTGAAATTTTTGACCCCTGTGTAATTTGCCACTTTTGTTCCTATCAACCTGCCTACCAGGCTCCTTCTGCAATCTTTGACTCCCTCGCTGACATCCTCCGAGCAAAGATCCACCCCGCCTAGTTCCGTTGAAGAGAGCTCAAACTTGCTGAATGCACGAGTTAGCTCCTCTTCCATCCTCTACAACCCAGTTGCTTGACACCACTGTGCACTATTTCCTTCCTTAGAAAACCCGTTGCTCAAACCTGCAAAACAGAGTTGAAAAACAGAGAGCAGAAAAAAAGAAGCCTAAAACAAGCTGAAAGACACGGAAGCCTAACCAACCACCCTCTAACTATGTACACACTACCACGATCTTGACAGGTAGACCCCGTCTCCCGTTCCTCGGATCATGACCTCAAACGCACCAGGACACAGACGTTGAATCGCAAAAGAGTTTAAGGTAGCTAAAATGGGTGTTTGTAGTACATCAGAATGTGGAAGGTCACTACGCCACAAGCCAAACTCAGAGATCTTCCCTTCTGTTAGAGGTTGCCGAAACCTTTTGAAATTTTGAAAGCTCCTATTCTAGGAGGGAAGCTCTCAAAGTAGAGAGAGAAGCTCTCAAAGTAGAGAGAGGTCTTTTTTCCTTTTTCTTGGAAGACTATTTACTTAATATGCATTGAAAAACTAAATATTATAGCTTGGTTTCGTTCAATATAAATTCCACCAGAAGCAGTTATTCTATGGATTCCGGTTCGATTCATGTTTAAAACAAAGGTTCGATTTCTACATGGTCGAAAAACGTCAAACAGAACAATATGTACATATACATAATCACCTAGGGAAGACGATGGTTAGTGTTTAGCAACATTCATATCTGGATTCGCAACAAGCCAACTTCGACCGGGTCTAATCAGAAAATTTTCCTAACTTCTCAGAGCAGGATACTGTCCGATATCCAGCTTGAGACAAACCAAAACCAGCGTGGATCTAGTCCTTGTATTTTTAAAAATTTCCAAAAAAATGTTTCAACTAAAACGCATGAATCTCATACTTTTTTATTTTAGGTAAATTAGGATAGCCACAATAGCTGGCATAAATATTATATTTACATTAGTTAAAAGTTTCGGCTTTGTAGTTTTACTTCCTAATGTTTAGAATTTTGTTGAATATGGTCCTTTAGATTTTAAATAGTTAAATTTAGGGTTTAAAATTAAACAAAATGTGAAATAAAGTTAAATATGTATGATGTGTTTCAAATGCCTATAAACATTGCTACAAGCACCTCATATTTGCACAGCATCAAGTTTAAAGAGCACATGGTTTTTAAATTAGCTACAATTCAATAATGATACACATATAATATACCAAAACATTAGTAGTAGGAGGGGATGGATGGGTTGAATGCTACGGAAAAAATTAGTAGTAGAAGAAGAAAATCCTAATATGTATATATGTTTTTTCCACATACATTGTAGAAATTGTTGCATGATTTCTAGATATAGGTCTCAAATAGTTATAATTAGGGATTGCAATAACAAGTGAGATTCAGTGCCAATATGAATTGCGTTTAGTAATTTTAAGAAAACTTACTATTTTTCCATGTTATTCCTTCCTATTAAAGTCTAACATTTTAATAATGAAGGTTTATGTATTTGTTCTAATGTCCATGCATTGATAATTTTAAATAATTCTAAATAATTATATAAAACATTAATTGATAAGCTACTGACTGCCAAAAAAGAATAAAAAATAAATAGATGATCACTGAAATTCACATGTAATATATATTACTTACAAATTAAAGTTGTTCTTATTTAAGTATTTAATTAACAATATATGTGGAAAAAATGACAGAAATTATTTTGATTAGTTATTTATAGTGCAAAACATTAAAAGCATATTTTATGCTAAATTTGAGAGAGTAAGAATAAGCATATAAATGCATTGATTCTCATTGTGCACAAGAGAAGAAACATAGGAGAAATTAGTGGCATAAATAAGTGAAATGAAAAAAGAAAAAAGAAAAGAAGTTTAATAAGAAATGTAGGAGAAATTAGTGGCATGAATAAGTGAAATGAAAAAAGAAAAAAAAAGAATAATTAGTTTTTTCACATTTTTATTAATTATAATTTCTAGTACACCTCTAATGTAATTTTGGTCTAACTCACATCCTATTTCATTTAAAACCCTTACTATCTCTATTTAAACTTATAATAATTCAAATTCCAAAGTCGGACAGCCAAAAATGCAAAGTTAAAGTTATTAACAATCAGTAATTTGATTTATTCATTACATTTATTTGAGTTAAAATATTAGGGACCCGCCAATTTGGTACATAAGCTGAATTTTTGGAACCAAAATTATATTTCTATTGCAGAGGTCCTTAAATCGATAGTATAATATTCTTTTCCAGTAACATCTACATAGCTATCTAGTTTCATAAATTTTAATAACATAGCACACTAAATAAGAACACGAACAAAGCCAGTATACTTCAAGAAACCATCCTAGCACTATGCTAAACAACTCAATTACATACAAGATCAAGAGCCCAAAATCTGAAAGCACTTATGATATACTCCCCACTCAATTACAAGATCTTTAGTCGATTTCTTTAAAGGGAAGCATCCTCCAAGAAGCCATTACATAGCAGTTAGTTTCATTATTCCAACAGCTGTTGGAGCTGTTGGCCAGGGACTTGTTGTCCTGCCTGGCAGATCTGGTTCGAACCTAGCTGCCAGGTTTGGGGGGAAGGGAGGGATCAGGGGATGAGGGAAGGGTAAAAAATATATATATATATATATAAAAGTTTCATTTTTCCAATGAGATTTAACGTCCACATGATCCAATACGTCTGGGATACAAATGGTATCTCTCCATTATATTAACTACGGATCTTTAACATATATTACGAAAGATATCATTGTTTTTCTAATGCAAATGCTTCAGAACTAAACCGCCTAGCAAGAGTTTTCGGGCACCTATTTGTGCATTGCAAAGTTTGACACGTTCTTCGTTTAGGACTTGTCTTTGTAGCAGAGATGTTTGACTTGTTAATCAACTTGGAATGAATGCAATCAATGTCCCTCTAAAGTCCAGATTAATTGACAGCTATACTTGGACATATTCATGAATATAGAACATGAACCTTATCCTCTTCACCCTAGGAGTGACAAGATTAAGTTCTTTTGGTATGTCTCTGTTCTTTACATTCCCTAAAGGGACTGCAATTTGTGATTAGACGAAATTCGTACCAATTTCAGCAATCATCTTTCTAACAATGTTTTAAAACCCGGACCGTCA